TTGTTGAGTTGTAAGAGTTCTTTATATATTTTGGATACAAGGAACTTGTATCTAATCAGATATAGATTTGCAAATATTTTCTCCCATTCTGTGCATTGTCTTTTCATTTATTGATGGTGTCCTATGAAGCACAAAAGATTTTAATTTTGATGAAGTCCAATTTATCTATCTGTTGCTTGTGCTTTGTCATATCTAAGAAACCGCTGCTTAACCCAAGGTCATAGAGATTTACTCCTGTGTTTTCTTCCAAGAGTTTTATAATTTTAACTCTTACACTTAACTCTTTGACCCATTTTGAGTTAATTTTTGTATATGGTATGAGGTAGAGGATTCAACTTCACTTTTGGTATGTGGATATCCAGTTGTCTCCACACCATTTGTTGAAGACTACTCTTTCCCACTGAAGCATCTTAACATCATTGTTGAAAATCAATTGACCATAAGGGTTTATGTCTGGACTCTAAATTCTATTCCATTGGTCTATATGTCTATCCTTATGCCAGTACCACACTGTCTTGATTTCTGTAGCTTTGCAGTAAGTTTTGAAATTAGGAAGGTGGATTCTTCAACTTTGTTCTTTCTCAAATTGTTTTGGCTATTGTGAGTGCTACAGAAAGTATTAAAGGTGGTGTCAAACAATAATGTACAGATCTGTTTAGCATAATAGTTCTAAGAGTAACATACAAGGGAAAAGTAAGTATTCTAACAATAGATGATTGGTTTCAATAATTTATAGTATATCTGCAATTAACAGTTCCTAACAGAGAAGGAAAGGTGTCACTGCTTATGGTAATGCTAAAAATGTAGATGCCCCAGTGACCTCTGAATTTACTGGCAGGAAATTTAGTATTTTCCAAGGTTTTTATTTCCCAAATAGTTCTTAGCATCTCCAAAGATAGTAACAGGACTGAAGGGAAGTACAGTTTTCTCAAATTAAATCTTCTCCTTTTCCCAGGGTGGTACCGCCACTTAAACATCCTTGTCCATGCCTCTCCCTGATGTTTAGTACACCTATTTCGTGAGAATCTTCTTCTTGTCCCAGGCCAGTAGAGAAATCCATTCTGCTTCTCATGCCCAGCAGTTTCAGAGATTTCACACATAAGAATTATTTGAGTTCCCAACTTTCACAGTATCTTCTTTAGCCTATAGTTGCTTTCTTTTCAGATTATGAAGGCATTCCAAATGTGAGGCCAGAGCATGTACATAATAAGATGAGGGGCTCAAGCACACTTTTACACTGACAACACATGCGCCTCCATCCTTCAGGTTCCAGTTCAAGTTCTGTCTGATACTTTCTTTCTGCATCCTGGGACAGTCAGAAGGTTGATCTGCTTGAGAACACCAAAACTCTCTGGCTAAACATTTTGCTTAAAGGCTCATCCTTTTTAAGCCATATATGATTTTTAAAAAGTCCCACTAGACCTTACACATTAAGTTTTCTAAAAACCATCATGATACAATGTTAAGTTAAAAACGAGAAAATGTAAGGATATAAAATGATGTATACAGTATGATCAGACTTTTGAAAATATATTTATTACATACATACCAAAATATAAAATATTAAAGAGACTACATGATGGGGAGCTTTTGAAAACTTATAAATACACCTGACTTTAATTTAATGTTTATTATATGTCAGGCACTGTGCTTGATGCTACATAGGAATTATCTCATTCAATATTCAAAACAATCCTATGAAGTAGGTATTGGTATTAACTCCCATTTTATAATTGAGATTTGGAGAATTTAGGGACTTATTCAAGATCTCATAGCTCATGAGGGGAGAAACCAAGAAACAATTCCAGAAATCTAAAATTCAGAGCCCTCAAGCTTAACTTCACATTATCTTGATTAGAATCTTATATTTGGCCAGAGCCTTAGAATTTTTTAAAACAATCTCTCATTATTTGTCCATTTGTTTCATGAATCTTTAATAAACACCTAGTAAGTTCCAGACACTGTGCTAGGTGCAGGTAAAGTGAAAAAAAAAAAAGAAGAAGATACTATTACTCTCAGGCTATTACTATAAATAATACAGGTATATAATTAACAGCCTGCTAGAGTTTAGAAAGTACTTTCCTAAACAGGGCACCTATGAAACCCATACCAATACTGCATGGTAGGCAGGGATGAGATTATTCCCTTTTTACACATAAAAAGAAAAGACTCCAAAGTTAATTGCTTTGCCCAAGTCAAACAGGAAGTATTTACAGAAGATGAACAATGTTTTTTATTTCCTATGTGGCTACTGTTACTTTTTTTATTTAATGGACCACTTTTTCAAGAAAAACGCAATAACAGCAGTCCACTGACTATAATTTATCACAGAATGTAGTAATTGGCTTGCTGTTGTTATTACATTTCTGCTGAAGACAAATATTTTCACTTATGTTTTCCACACTGCGGTATCTATCTTTTTCTTGACCATTATGCTCTTTGCGGCCCCACAATATGAATCCTCCCTGTTTGTAGTTCATAGAGCACTTTCACTATGAGCCTCCAAGAGCCCATCTCAGTAGGTACCCAAAATGACCATAATTATGGTGATTTTACAAATAAGAAAATTCCGGTTCAGAAAAGTGAAAAGATTTTCCCATGGTTCTTCAGGGAGTCATTGTTTTCCCTTCCCCCTACTTCACATACAAGTTTATACATTTGCTAAAAGCTCTAATAATATTTCACCATGATTACAAATTAGAGGGGTCTCCAGAGTGAAGGGGGTATTGAGGGGAGAGGCAAATATTTGTAGTTCCGGGTTATTTTTAAGTTAAGAGTTTACAGATCAAGACCTGTCTTTGCTTAAAATCCCTATAATAGTACAGCCAGAGTAGAAGGAAGAAAGGTTGTATTTCATACAAATTGTCACTAAATATTTATATCAATTTCTCTTAGAGCTTTGCACCTCACTCTTACAATTCAACACAGTGGAAAATGTCAGAAGGTCAAAAAATCTTGAATGTGAAGTGATTTTCCTTTGTTCGTCATGAGTGAACCGATTTGAATCAAGCATCATCTTTCCTTCAAAAAGCGGAATTCATTGTATTTTCTTATTTTTAAAAAATCAATAAATCTTATCCTATGGAAAGCTCCTCTTTAACTCAAGATATATTTAATGAGATGCACCAGAATTGTGTTTGTTTTTAGAAATACAGAGCTGAGTAGGAAGTGACCCCTGAGTTTAAACAACTCACAGTCTGGTAGGCTAACTGGACAATTCATTCATTTATTCAGTAAATATTCTTTAAGGACTTATGAAACTGAGAGACTTGGCTAGATTCTGGGTCCTCAATGGTAATCAAAATAAGTCTGTACCCTTGTGCAGTTTACAATCCAGTGAGGGAGCAAGAAAACATGATTAAAAAAATATAATAAAATGTGAGAAAGAGAAAAGCAACCCATGACATCCAGGAGCTGACCATGGCATTGCTATAGTTTGGCCTTCTACTCACAGCTAGGCCTTGATGTTCTCCTGTTTATCATAAACAATTTCACAAAACATGAACATCCAACAAAGCTGCTCTGCAACCATGATGTATCAAGACAAAGACAATACTACTCCATAATTATGCCTGAACACAGGCAAAACATAAACATTACCCAAACTACCAAACATCCCCTATCTAGGCTAATATGAGTGACTGTTGCTTCTTTACCAATTACAACTTTAGCCTGTGGCTATTCTTCCCTCCTTCTAAATAAGACTTTTTAAGATACCAAATCATAGAATTACTCTCACTTCCTAAAAGCATCCAATCCAGGGCAAAGCCAGTCTTCCTTAAAATTTCCCTAAATCAACCTAATAATCCCAAATCCTACAGTAAATCCTTCCTAGTATCCTTTTACTGAGATACCCTATGGCTTCCATGCGTGTTCTCCCTCGCGGTGATGAATAATAAATCCAATTTGTCCAACTAAAGTGCTCCTCGTGGTCTTTGACAAATGCAAAACTTGAAAGTGGCAACAATACCATGCCTGTTGTTCAAACCCTCTTTTCTCACTTCTCTCTGCAGGGGCGTTGACAGGGGTATAAAGAATATGAAAATAGGTGATACTTGAACTCTTAAATTAAGGGGTAGGGAATAGTTTATTCATTTATTCATTCATTGGCTTATATGCTAACTTGTTCCAAAAATAATTTAATGTGGCTGATATTATTCAGTGGATTCAGAGGTACAAAGTAGGGGGCAGCTCCCTGAACACTGTCATATAAAGACAACACTCCTGACCTAAGGAAACACCTAAAGACAATGGAACGCTAAGGTGGAATGGGGGTACCCCAAATAACACTGATGTTTAATGGGACACCCCTTCCCTAACAGCTGAGGCTCCCTCTACCCTTTCCCCAACGAGGGATGACATATTAATCACCTGCTGTCAGGTTCTACCTGACTTCCTGTCCTTATAAGCATCTTCTTCCCTTTATTAGAGACTCTTCATTCCCATCTCCATTTTCAATTCCTATCCACTACTGGTAACAAGTCTGTTCTCAAGTTCTAAAAGAAAAATCCTCACTTTTTCCTGTTAGTCTTGAAGAACTTAAGAAGCTCTAGATCAATTCTCAGGCGAGTCCAAGTCAAGTCACTCTTAGTCAAATCTAATGATTTTCAAGTAGAGCAGTACTGTTCTCTTAAGAGGCGTTTAAAAATATGTTGGGATGTGATTTTTGCTTGTCACAGTGACTGGAGTGGTAGTACTAGCATTCAGTGGATGAAGGCCCTGCAATGCACTGGACAGTCCCACGCAGTAAAGAAGGGACCCATCCAAAATGCCAATAGTACTCCTACTGAGCCACATCTTACCCATAGATGGAAAGTATCTATCACATCCAACCCTCCTGCTTCTCCCCATGCCCACACCAGATATCAATAATCAATGTCAGTGTACGCCACTGAGCTGAATATGGTTTCAAAAATCTTTCTCAACATAGCAATCCAAGCATGCTGTGTCTATCAGATTTGGCATGGATGACAAAATCTATCTGCCATTCCTGCCCTTACCTTTTTCTGTTTAAGACTAAGGAAGCTTCATTGTTCTTGAGATGAAGTCTTCACCTGGCACCCTGGTCCTATTCCATTTCCTTGCCTTGGTCATCTGACTGTAACAGAGAAGAAAAAACCTGAAATGTACATGATAGCCCATTCTCAAGGCTCTGCCTTCCAAACTTGACCTTTAAAGGTATAAGACTTTTCATTTGTATAGAAATAAAAAGTTGCAGAACAGAGAATAACATTGGCTTGTTAGAAGTTTACAGGAACATTGTGACCTGACCTATGTGGACAGCTGGAAGCACAAAGGATTCTGGCACCAAGAAGTTTGCAACAACCAGTCACACTCCCTCCCCTTTTTGTATAAAAGCAGCCTGAATTCTAACTCGGGTAAGATGGTTCTTTGGGACACTAGTCCACCATCTTCTAGGTCTCCTGGCTTCCCAAATAAAGTTGCTATTCCTTGCCCCAATACCTCGTCTCTTGATTTTTTTGGCCTGTCATGCAGTGAGCAGTATGAGCTTGGACTTGGTAACATGACTGCTCTCCCAGGCCTTCTAAGACAAGGGCCCTATCAGCAATGTGACTTCTGTGGCTGGGACCCTGCACCGTCCCAACAGGTCTAACAACAAATGCCTGCCTGCCGGCATTACCTCTCTGAAGGCTTGCTCCTGGTACAGTGAGTGAGCTACACCCTCTAGTGGGGAAACTACATGTAGCATATTGAACTTCTTTGGAAGAATAACACCCAAAAGAAAATCCAACTCAGTGACTGAATTTTTAAAAAGGGGGGTGGGGGGATGTGAAGTGAAGTGGGGGAGGCAGGGAGGATTTCCATGGCACCTGTACTTGAAAAGTCCAGAGGAGTCTCTGAATTCAGGCATGGCTAGATACGGAGTCTCAAAAACTGTTGCCAGAATCTTTCTCTCTCCATGTTTTGGATCCATCCATGCTCTCCTCGAGGTTGTCTTCATTCTCAGGCTTTGACCACCCCATCCCGTTCCCATTGCAGTGGTAGACACTGGTAGTTCTAGAGATACAACTTCAGTAGAAGAGAACTTTCCTTTCTCAAAACAAAAGATTTGATGCTTATTAGACTAGTTGGGATAAGACTGCTGAATCAGTCTTTAGTGCTACAAGCATGCTTAACTATTACTGAAATTGAAATGGACTGATTTACAAGGCATTGCAGGAGCCAGGGGTGAGACAGCCCTGCTACGTGGACTAGAAGAGGATAAAGAACTGTTCCCCAAAGGAATATTGAGGCACTACTGCCAGGAGAAATGAAAGAAGTCAAGCAAAAACAACATGCATTGACACTACCCTTTCTGGATGCCATCTTTCCCTCCTCTGAATCTGAGGTTGTCCTCAGGCCTGCCCAGAGCTCAATCCCCTGCTATTTTTCTGCCTCTACAACACTTAACTATTTAGCCTATTCGTATCATAATAAGTTATGGTACTCCCAGGAGCTGAAACACTTTACTATCTTGGCAGAAGGCAAGGAAATGTCACCCAGAGCTAAAGCTTCTGGAAAATACACTTTCGTACCCATACAAAATCATTTGACATCCTGGCCCACAAACCATGGGCAGTCTGGTGTCCTCCCAAATTCAGAGGACCACAGGGCATTTACATTCTCATGGTTCCTTCTTGCTCTGTATCCCTAATTTTGCAGAGCTCTCCAGCAGCCCCTCATTTCACCTTTTAATACTGACACCTCATTCTCCACCACTTTGGTGCAGGTTAGACTCTCCCCATCTTCCTTCATTCCTCAAGCACTTTCAAGGCTATTTGGGGGTAACAAACGTTTTCTGAACGTCTGGGATAATAGAGGAGATTAATGGCTAACGTAGCATAGGAAATATATTAGGACTATTCTGGTTAAGAGTGATGAAATCTAACTGAAACTTAGGTCAAACAAGAATTGTGTGGGTTCATGTGATTAGGAGGATCCAGGGTGGGTCTTAATTCAAGCACCGCAGTATCCCCAGACTTAAGCAATGCCAGGAGTTTTACTCTCCACCTCTGCCCTTTGCTAGTCTATGAATTTCATTACATGCTGGTTTCATCATCTCCCATACAGACTCCATCTACATGATGATATAATGGCTGCTACCACCCCCAGGCAGGTGTTCTCATAGTTCAAGAGCCAAAAGGAAAAGGGTTGGGGGTGGGAAGAAGGGAAATCATGGGGCTTAGCCACCCCCCCATCAATATGCAACTGCAATCCCCCAGTACAGGGAATTGAATTTTTTAAGTAAGTGTCTTATAACCTCCAAAAGATTAAACGTAAGCACAGAAATGAGGAATAAATCACATCTATATTGTAGTTTGGGTTAAGAAACAGTCTACAAATAATTGTAATTTAAAATATTTATATTTTAAGAAAATATAGCATAGTAAAGAATATGATGGATGAATCTTATGTTTCCAACTTGAAATTTTTAATTATTGATTTAAATTTAGAATTTTAAGAGAATAAAAATTTTATTAAGACTGTAAATGTTATTGGCATTTTGAAAAGTTGTCATTTGCCATATTTATGTTTAATTGAATAGACTTGTAACATTTACTCGTGAAGGTTTTTTGTTAAACAATTGAAGTGCTTAAAAGCAAAAATTGAGTGTATTTATCCTTTCCTTAATCCCTTCTTCAACTAAACTTAACTGTGTGCCCAGCCCCCCGTTTATGTTTGAGAAACTGATTCACCTGGATGTTTATTTGATTGTCTCCATTTACCAAACTGCAGGTAGAAACATATCCACTTATCATCATTGTTCCCTTGCACCTAGTCCAATGCCTCGCCCCCAAAATATTTGTTGAATGAATTAATGAACCATGTCAGGCTCAAAATGCAACCAGCTTTTGAAAACTACAACTGCTTTCTACCTGCTACTTTTGGAATTTAAGGGAGATCAGTTTCCATCTCAGTATTGGGCTCACCTAGCTGGGCCCAGTTCACCAGCACTTTCCATTTCTTTCCTTGTAACAGCTGGATGAGGTTGATTCACCTTCTACTTATGGGGGGGCAACTTGCTCATTTAGTCAAGGTCAGGAGAGTCATAGGGCATGTAAGGGGAAACAGTGAGTCCTGTGTGCACATAGGACGTGACGTTTGTGAAGCAAAATGAGATTGAAATGGTAGGCTGCAACCAATGAATACTGGGCCTTGGAAGTCTGATTAACAAGTTACAAATGTATACTTCAAGGTTTAAAGTTGAAGAAAAAATGAGCCATTGACACATTACCCAGTGTGCTTTAGGAAGATTAATCAGATTGTTATTTGGAGTAAAATTATAAGATTGCACAAGAGGAATATGGGTTTTGAAGTAAGACAGGGAAAATTTCACAATGATTATCTTTATTTACTGGCTGTGTGAGCTTTAGCAAAATACTTAACCTCTCTGAACCTGAGATACATTACCTGTAAGATGGGACAAGCAATACTTACAGAGTTCATAGGGATTAAATATAATCATGTATTTAAAAGGGTTGGTAGAGAGACATTGTGATTAAAAAAATACAAAACAAAACAATAAGAATTTGCAAGAGAGACACTAGAGCCAGGATGATGATACAGAGACACAACTAAGAAGTAGTGACAGAGAAGCTCATGGGGGAAGGAGAAGTGAGCTGAAGAGGGTGTCTGTAATTACTATTTCAAGTGTAGCTGCATAGAGCCTGGACTCACTCAGTGTCTTCTGTGCTGCTTGGGCATCCTGACATTCCACTGTGCCAGGATTTCCCAAATTTCACTCAAGTGTTCTTGTAGATGATGTCTCCCAGATTACCTAGGAGCAGAGACTGTTTCCTAGTCATCTTTGCAGCCCTGTCTAACATATTCCCAGGTCCCATGTAGTCTCTTAGTAAACGTTGGCTGATGGTAAATAGCTCTTGGCATTTCAAACAACATTTTTTCTAAAAAAATAACTTATTTACTCTCACACCTCTAGAGATCAGGCTAAAAGATCAGCACTAGAAGCAGTGACAGGGAAAACACAGTAAGGCTATTTATTTATTTGTTATTTTTTTCTGCTGCACCACGCAGCACGCGGGATCTTGGTTCTCCGACCAGGGATGGAACCCGTGCCCCCTGCAGTGGAAGCACAGAGTCTTAACCATTCGACCTCCAGGGAAGTACCAAGGCTAATTATTTAAAAGAAAGCTTTTTGAGTTTCTGAAGTTTCATTCTAAATCTTTTCACTTTCTTGGGACATAACCTTGATCTTGAACAGTATGGTCCAAATTAAAAATGATAAACAAGGGCCTTGTTCCTTTATGCTCACTCCGACCTCATGTTTATAAAAGCCTCCTATGCAGCCTTTTCTTTTCTTTTTTCCTTTTGTGTGTGTGCGTGTGTGTGCATGCCTAATCTACCACCTTGTGTTTGGTTTTGAAACTTCGATTCCCTACGCACATACCTACGTACAACATCCTTTCACAGCATTTCCTTATGTAACTTGGGAAAATTTATGATGCTTTTGAAAGTGAACTTCATGCTAAGAATATCACAACCTAAGAATTCAGCCCTTGCAACTTCAAACACTGCTGAGAAGAAGGAAGAAAAAGAGGCTTCTGAAGAATCAAACAGTAACTGCTAACCTTTGTGGAATATTTGCTATGTGCCAGGCACTCTTTAAGTGGATTACAAATATTACCTCACAAAACACAAATAAGAGAAAGGTGGTGGAGAAATTGGAACCCTTGCACTGTTGGTGAGATTGTAAAATGGTGCAACTGCTATGGAAAAATTAAAAATTACCATGTGATCTAGCAATCCCACTTTGGGGTATATATCCAAAAGAATGGAAAGCTGGATCTAGAAGAGATATCTGCACACTAATATTACCTGAAGCATTATTCACAAATGTCTATTCACAACAGACGTTTGGGAAGCAACCCAAATGTCCGCTGATGGATGAAAGAACAAAATATAATACATGCATACAATGCAATATTATTCAGCCTTAAAAAGAAAAGCCTGACACATGCTACAGCATGGATGAACCTTATAAACATTATGCTAAGTGAAAAAAGCCAAACAAACAGGGACAAATATTGTCCACTTATATGAGGTACAGGGAGTAGGACGGTGGTTGCCAGGGGCTGTGGTGGGCAGGTGGGGGTTGTTACTTAGTGGGCATAGAGTTTCAATTAGGGGGGATGAAAAAATTCTGGAGGTGGATGGCAGGGCAGTTGCACAACAATGTAAATATTCTTAATGCCAATGAGGTACTTAATGCCACTGTGCACATAAAATTGGTTAAAATGGTAAACTGTGTTATGTGTATTTTACCACAATTAAAAAGAAATCATGTGAAGAATCATTCATGTACAGACTCAAGACTGTACTGGTGGGGCTACCAGCCTTCCTTTTTGATGCATGTGCTAATAAAATCTACATACATCCCTCCAAGAACAAACAGTTCCAAAAACAAACAAATGAGGTAAATTAAAGCGTGGTAAAGCGTGGTAAATTAAAGATGGCCATAAATTCTTTGCTACTCGTTCAATTAAGAGGAGGAATCTTCCCTATCTCCCCTTGAATCTGGGGAGATTCCTTGATTAACAAAATGTGACAGAAGTAACTTCTACTCCCAAGGCTAGATCATATGAAGTCCTGTCCTTGAGCTTCCTGCTGTATGGCTTGGAACAGCTCACTTTTGCTCTATTTCCCAGTGTTCCCTATCAGAACCCAGCGATTTGCCCTGAGAGATCCAAACCAGAGGGAGAAGACCATGTGTAGGCACTCTGGTGGATAGCTCTAGATGAGCCCCTAGAGGGCTTACACCTTAAAGTGCCTACAATATAATCTCCATTGGAGCCCAAAGTTAACTAAATTCTCAGCTGACATCGAACTTCAAATGCATGAAACCCCAATCTAGAACTGCCCAGCTGAGCCCAGTCAACTCACAGAATCCTAACAAATTATGTGTTAGCCACTAAATTCTGCAGTGGTTTGCTATGCAGGTACCACAATGATGTCCATTTTTACCTAACAAACCCAAGGCTTAGAGCTGACATCTCAAGGTCACAGAGCGAGTACTCTATGGTTGGTTGAACCTGCAGATGTGGACTGCAATACGGAGGACCTACTGTAAAGTTATAAATGAATTTTTGGCCCCTAATCCCAGAGGTATTCAAGGGTTACCTGTACTTAGGGGCAAGAACTCGGGATTTGGAGGGTAAAAATCTGGGTTTCTGTCTAGCTGTGTGACACTGAGAAATTACCTATGTAGACATCGAATGCTGCCTGCCATTTCAGTTAGCAAAGAATGGTGTGGCCGTCAAGCCATCAATCACTGCAGCTGTCCCTGAAGGTGCACCCTACGGGGAGTCAGGATGGAGAAAAACAGGATTACAGACCCTAGACGCTTACGGTACATATCAAAGGAATGATTTCAATAAGCCCAGATTCTCACATCTTCTCATACATAAAAAAGAGCTAAAGTCACTAATTTGACATGTCTGTTTTTTCTTTAATCAGCAGTAATATTTTCATGTTCAACTACCTGTTTTTGTTTTGCGTTTTGTTTTTGTTTTCTTTTGCAAAATCTCCTACATATCTTGGTTCCTCCCTTACCTCTTCAGAACAGTCCGTCGGAGATATCTGAGAGGCTGTCTCCCGGGCTCAAGTCCTCAGCAAGTGCGCTGAATAAAACATAATTCTCAACTTCCAGGTTGTGCATTTTTTTTCAGTCCATATCCTCTCTGAAGATAAGTTTTATAAGGAAAAAACAAAAAACGGGTTAAACTGACTCCTGCCCATACGTCACGGTGTCAGGGAGTTTTCAATGAGACAATGACGTGAAAACCCTTTGGAAACTATAAAATATTGTAAATTACGTGTAGAGACAATGCCACAAAAGTAGGGAAGGGCTTATTTAACATTGACATCTTTAACTGCCCCACCCCCCCAAAAAAAAAAGATTTTCTGTTTTCAGGTGAACGAATTCTGGAAATATCGCTACTGGTACCTAGCTCGCTACTTTACAAAAGAGAAACGCGAAAACCGAAAGCTCACCCAAAGCCAACAAAAAACAAACCGCAGAATCACGAGCATTTATCCGGCGTCCGACGCTAGACGCTTTGGGCGTGGCGCCGCTGTCACGTGAATGAAGGACGCGCCCCCAGCGCGCTCCTAAACGCCACGCTTAACATGGCTGCCGGGCCTGGACACCCGCGCCCCACACCCAGCATGGGCATGGGGAGCGGACCCAGCCCGGGATACCAACACTCCGGAAGTGCCCGAGGGGCGGCGGAAGCGGAAGCGCCCCGGCGGTGGGGGCCGCGGGAAGTGTATGTTGCGTTTCTCCCTCCCTCCACCACTACAACAAACGGAGGGCTGGCGTAGGTGAGGCGGCGGCCGGGTGGGCCGGGGGCGGGCGGCGGACTGCAGAGCCCGGGGTGCGTGCGGCGGGTGGAGGCGGCTGGATGGGGCTCTGCGGCCCCCGACCGCTCGGGCTCTTGGTCTTCGGCCCCTTTCGGGCCTAGAGCTCCCCGAAGAGCCGGGATTGGGTTTGTGGTTCTTGGCCTTCTAGGCCCTGGTGACAGGGTTTGCCACCTTGCCTGAATCTGGTCCAAGATCCCAGGATACAGAACCCTCCCTGAGTCTTGATTTTCTCAACAAAATGGGGACTTTTGGCCTGGCCAACTTCTGGGACCCCATCCCACTCTGGGCGTCAGAAGTTCCACGATTTTAACGTTAAGTCAGTGTTTAAGCCCGTGTGTTAAGGACTGTAGTCAGCTTACTGAGGAGATGTTCTGAGCAGGACGCAGTGAATACATCTTTGAGAGGCGGCCAGCTAAGGGATCGGGAGCCCGGAGTTCTAGACTTACCTCGTCCACCGACTCACTCTCTGACCTTGCCCAGGTCCGTTACCCTCTCTGTGCCACGGTTTACGTATCTGTAAAACGAAGGTGTTGGATGCTTCTGATCCCCCTCCTAGCTCTAAAATCAGGTTCTCAACTCCCTTTCAAGGAATCTTACCTTAGAGACAGGCCAGAAAAGCATCTCTTCCCTGCATTTTGTGTAGCCAGGATGACTTATCAGAGGTGTCTACCATGTTTCTTTCCAGACGCCAAATCGGCCAAGGGCAACTGGCACTTCGTAAGGTTCCTATGTTTCCTGTGTAGTGGAAAGCTCTGTCCTGAAGACTTTGTTTTAGAAACCTATACCAGCAGTGTAAAACACGCAAATGTGAAACATAGGAAACCTTTGTTTTTTATCTTAAAACTGCTATTAAATTGCTGGATTACCTTCCTATTTCTGGACTGGAGATTTCTCATCTGACAAACGAATAAGTTAGATTAGGTCACAGGTTCTTAATCCCCTTTCCCATAATCTGCACGAATGAAGAATAAAATAATGGCTCCATAAAGCCATGATTTTCTGGGGGAGGGAAAAGGTGAGGTGTGGAGAGTACATATTATGTAGCCATATAGATTGAAAAATCTGTGCTTGTAATTTTTAACTTTTTTTGACAATTACTGGTCTAGGTTATCACTAAGGTTCTTTCTCTTTAAAATTTGTGATGCTGTGATTCTTATGTCCTCTTTGGGTAAAGAATATAGACTTGTGTGTTTGTTTAAATGACTGTGTGCCTGGAAGTACACACTTTAGTTAAAAAAAGATACACAATGGGAGAAGAAGGAAAAGCTAGATTACAGTAAGGAAAAGTGACATAGTGAAATAAAATTGAACTTGAACTAGAGTTAAAGACATGGATCCTTGTTTCAGCACTGGTATTGATACTTTCTGGGTTTGTGACTTTGGGCAAGGCAGCTTACCTCTCTGGTTCTTACTTTCCTTATCTTGGAAAATGAAAGATTGGACTGGATGACTCCTGGACATTTTCAGTACTATAATTCTGTTTTCTTATTTGTTTTTTATCTGACCAGCTTGGTGGATGTGGTGCGGCATTTCTTTAGGCAAGAGAGGCTGTTCTAGGAAGTAGACATAGAAGATCTATGATGAGGAATGGTGTCAAATTGACATGCAATATTACATTGATATGAGCAAGCTGAAGCCAATAGAAACTGAAGAAGGGTGTTAGAAACCTGAAGGGCAGGGGAGCCCTTGACCAGATAGGATGATTGAAGACATTGGGAAGTTTTAAATGGGAGAGAGATATTTTTGGCGAGGTTAATGAAGGGGAATTTAAGTTACAGTAATTGAAGTGGCTGAGTTGTCAGAAACTGTTGGTAGAATCTGTCTCTACTGTGAGACTGTAAGCTTCATGGGAGGAAAGACTTTGTCACCACCTAGCACCTAATAGGCAATAAAAAAGTAGTCGAGTGAGTGGTTGGTTGGATGGACTGATGAATAGATAGAAAATAACAATTCTCTGGAGAAACTCCTTTTTAAAAAATTGCTATTAATTAGATACAGAATGGGGAAATTGATTCAGCATTGTGAAAGTTTCATAAAAGAAGAGGTCCCTAAGTTTTCTCATTAGTTGTAAGGTAAGTCGGTTTATCGCTGCCCTATAAAGTATGTTAGTAAGAGACAAACACGTACCTTGGAGGGTCCAGTGTGATCTGAGTAAGAGAGTAATGAGAAGAATAAGACAGGGATGAAAGAGGATGTTGACAAGATGGAACAGGTGTAAGAAGATTTCTAAGTTGTGCGTAGGGACTAAAAGAGTAGGTTTATATAGGACTTTTATAGGTATCAACGATTGTCAGAATTGTGTACAATACATGTTAAAACCTCTATAATGAAAGTAGAGAATAAAAAGGAAAATGATTTTTGCAAGCAAGGAAATGTTGGTGCTCCTCAACAAGAGGTTGAAGTAGCCTGGAGGGTTAAGGTTTAAAAGATAGGGATAAATCTGGGAGCAACCAGAATGAATTAACTTAGTAGAGGATAGTGTAGTCTAGTTTGGGATAGGAGGAGATTTGAACCGGCAGGTTGCAAGGAGAGGAGCACACCTATGTGTTAATGAGAAGGACCTTCCTTACCTTGTTGGGTTTCTCAAGTTTAAAGAATGCTCAGAAACAATTCAGGCTTACTACTTAGAACATACTTGGGCCACTAGGACAAAAGTGATGCTTCCTGTGGCTAAGGTCTGCTAAACAGCCAGCCACAGGATGACTGTAGGAGACCCAGGGCTGCTGTAGGCTACTGTGTGTGAGCCAAATTAGATGGACCACAAGCTCTAATTTGTGAAGGAGGGTGTGGTCAGCAGCAGTTCTATCAGAGCATCGAGAAGTGCATCTCCAAGCACTGGGGCATAGCTCTGGAATGTAGGCAGCCAGCCGAGGTGCAAAGGATTGACTTGATGACAGGTTGTATAGTGTAGGCTGAGAAATCTGAATCCCAGCCTGAACTCTGACACTTAATATAAGCCCTTGGCAAGTGACTTATACCCTGTGGTTCTGTTTGTCCATCTAAAAATTGAGGGACCAGCCTTGGATAGGGTCCTCTGGATGAGCTTCCATGTCTCTGTGAAGCCCCTGAAATTATATATGAGTCTGGGTGTGTTTTGTTTTTGTCTTGGGGGGATGTACAGCTTTCATCATAGTCTCAGATGGGTTTGTGACCCACAAAAAATTAAGAACTGTGTGACCCTTTAAGTCTGTGAAGGACTCTTCACCTTTTAACTTTCTGGGATTCAAAATGATATTTCTTTGAGGTTTAGAATCTCAGCCTCCAGGACTTGCTGACCCTAAAAAATGACACCTAGTGCTGCAAAATGTAGTCTCTGCATATTTATACCCACTTGTTATTTATACTCACCTCTCCCTTACCCTCCATAACTCCTCTGCTAGGCCCGTTCCTATGTGTCATCTTTATCTACTGTTGATAACTGGAATTCCCTCTTTTCCTCTTTCTACTTGCTGCTGCTTTGGACCTTCTCTACCTTATTGAGTTTCTCAAGTGGTGAGTGGTGATATTTTGGAGATAGGGGTAGGAAGAAACCAAGACACAGAAGACCAGTCATGGCAGTTTTCTATTCTCACCTGCTTTTATCCCTCATCCCACTAAAAGACAAGCAATTGAGAGAGAACATGCACGTATAAGAGAGACTCCGTCATCACTAGGTCTCCGTCTTTCATGGTGTTTTCTTTTCAAACAGGGATACCAGGCCTCTGTACTCAGTGCCTGGGATGAAATGCTCTCAGCCTAGTCCAGTCATGTATTTCACTTAAGTGATGATGAAGCCAGCTTTAGTTGAAACAGTTGTGTGGGGTTTTTTTTGTTGTTGTTTGTTTTTTTAAGTAGAGTTTGAATGGTGGTGAGGGCAAATAATTGAGTCCTTGAATGAGCCTTTTATCTCCTTAATATTGCCAGGGGCACCTACTTGGACTGGAGAGGACTGAGGAATTTCCTCCAGCTATGGGTCCTGAACTGTTAAAGCCCCTAGATGGAAGATGGCAGTCTTATCCTTTACCCCAACGTTCATCTCCACAAGTCCCTTTCCCACCGAAGCCTTGTAGCAGGGGAGTCACTACTCCACCTGCTGCCAAATAAATAGCTCTATGATCAAGTTTTCAGTTCTAGATGTGATATGGGAACTATGTTACAATTTCACCTAAATTTTTGTTGTAGTCCTCTTAACTTAGGCCCTTTGGTAGTAGTGTTAATGCATAGTAGGTTAAATGGATCTTTGTGGGCTTGCTGGAGACTTAACCTAACCTCTCTATAATGTTGTATAATGTCATATCTGTGAGTAAATATTTTTGTAAGTTCTAAACAAGGGAACTTTATATAAACTCAGTGATATTTAAGGTGCAATCTATTGGTTTAAAATTTCAAGTGTATGTTGTGCACTGGAGCTACTAAATCTGATTCACACAAAACCACAGTATTGCAAAATAAGGAGCAATAAAAGGTGGAGTCATAAGATGAGGGTGGAAATTATTAAGTGGTGTGGATTTGCTGAAGGAAAAGAAGGGGGAAGGGCCAAGAAGGATTTTCACTTAGAGGATGAAATCAAGAACGTGGTATCCATGAACGGTTAGAGTTGTCAAAGGTGAGGGTGTAAAAGGTGAAGCATGTGCTAAATAACATAGCTGGAGAATTAATCCATGGTTGGATTGGTCTGTACTGGTTTATAGCCTTGT